TAAAAATTGCGAAAAAGTTATTTTACACTTCCTAAAAATTTCTACGAATTCGCGTCATTAGCCCAGCGGGCACACACATTATTAGCTGTATTCATAAAATTGCAAAACGATTAAAATAACGATTGCTTGAATTTGAAATTAATTCTTCTTGATGCTTTTTTTAAAAATTTTAACTTTATTTGTCCTGACGGTACTTTATGTCTCTTGTGGGTTTGGCTAAGTCCACAATGGAGCGGTCCACCAAATGTTTAAACAGATAATGTATAACTTTTGTAAATAATGATTACCCTTTTCATTGTGTAATTCTTTTATAGACGGAAAGAAGAGAGGGATCTTTATTATTGGCAATAATCGAGGAAACCCCAAAAGAGATGGAACCCGTCCAAAGAAAAGGAAACAGATTACGGCAGTTTGATGTTGATGAAACTAACTTATAAAATTTAAAAAACCTCCTAAAAACCCTATCGTAGTTATATATTTAGAACTTAAACGACGAATTATTAAATTGGAACAACTAAAAGAAATCAATAAAACTGAAAAACGGTTTATCTTAAATGAAGGAAAAGATCGTACACCAAAATTAAATATACAGCTCAAAACTCACAAAGTAGGAGAAAAGATTCGCCCAATTGTAGATTTTAAGTACTCCACGTTATATAACCTTGAAAAATTCCTAAAATAGCAACTTATGCAATATAAAGATTCGCAATATGCAATTAAAAATACAGATGAACTTATAGACGACCTAAACCAAATCAGTATAAAAGAAAAGTTTAGATTGGCTAGCATTGACATTGTCGATATGTATCCGTCGATAACATGGGACTTAATAGAAGATAAATTAAAAAATCCAGAAGTTAAAAATGAAATACAGTAGACCCCCCTATAACGCGGGTTCCAATAACGTAGATTCCTATGACGCGGCGAAAAAATTGCGGCAGTATTCGTATAACGGGGAGCCTAAAACGCGGTAAAAGGTCATCGCCAACTCGTCATTGCGGATGAGCAGCCGAACTATTTTCCGCCGTCTAGCGCCATGCTACGGAGAGTTTAGGCGGGTAAGTTGATTTTAACAATCGTCTGTACAGTATTATATATAAATTAGGTACTGTACAGTACATATAATTATATATTAATTACATATAAATTAGGTACTGTATATATAATTAAATATCAACTTAATTTATTGTAACTTTATTATAATTATATATATGCTGTCCGCCTCCTGGCACCACGCTACGGAGAGTTTAGGCGAACTATCGTCTGTACAGTATGTAAATTAGGTAACGTAAGTCTAATACAGAACTGTAATTATATACATTTCTTGTGAAAGAAACACTTCTTATTTAACGGCCATAAAAATTATTTATGTTAATGATGTCTCCAAAGGTCAAGTTATTTTTCTGCGAAAAATTCGTTATCAGAAATCGCGGCCGCCGTTTCATGCGCTGTTCCGCGACGAAAACAAGCTTGAGCAACGGCGTAGTCGAACGGTGCACACTCGGTAAGTAATCCTACAATTTTTTGTTTATAGCGTAGTTTATACGGATTATTTCCAAAAAAAAATATACGTATTTTGGAAATGTTGAGTCGAATTAGTCTAGAATCGATTAATTTTATGGAAGAAAACCTTTCAAACAGCCGTAGTCCGTAAACTTCCACGTGTCAAATACGTGAGCCAATCACAGCCCAAGGATTCCAACAACGCGAAATTCGTATAACGAGGAACGTATCTTCGCGTTATAGGGGGGTCTACTGTAATAAATTTAATAGAATTCACATATAGAAGTAATTACTTCGAAGTCAATGATGATTATTACACACAGACAAACGGAATAAGCATTGGTTCGGTAATAGGGCCAAAGTTCGCTGAACTAATTATGATAGATATAGATCAGTGTTTCTCAACCTCTAACGAATCATCGCCCCTTCAATAAAACCGTTACGTAGTATCGCCCCCTTCAATAAAACCGTTACGTAGTATCGCCCCCTTCAATAAAACCGTTACGTAGTATCGCCCCCTTCAATAAAACCGTTACGTAGTATCGCCCCCTTCAATAAAACCGTTACGTAGTATCGCCCCCTTCAATAAAACCGTTACGTAGTATCGCCCCCTTCAATAAAACCGTTACGTAGTATCGCCCCCTTCAATAAAACCGTTACGTAGTATCGCCCCCTTCAATAAAACCGTTACGTAGTATCGCCCCCTTCAATAAAACCGTTACGTAGTATCGCCCCCTTCAATAAAACCGTTACGTAGTATCGCCCCCTTCACTTCAAAATTCCGATGCCGAGGGCCAAGGCTAACGCCAAATTCGTACTGCATTGAGTAGATTAGTGACTAGTATAATGTTATTTAATTATTGTACGATATAACGAATAAAATATCTAATTATTTTTAATATAATGTTATACTATATCGCCCAGAAAATTGTTTTTCGCTCCCCAAAATATAAATTGTTACTAATCGCACCCTCAAAATGGAAAAACGCCCACATGGGGGCGATATCGCCCCCGTTGAGAAACATTGATATAGATAATAGTATCAGTAATATACAAGGTGTAAAATTCTATTAAAGATACGTAGACGATATTCTAATAATATATAATGATACGGAAATCAAGATAGAAGAAATCAGCAAACACATTAATAATATACACGAAGCAATAAAATTTCAAATAGAAATAGAAGATTTAAACAGTCAAGAAATTAACTACTTGGATATAACAATAAAAAGATTAAAACAAAATTTGGAATTTAGAACATTTAAAAAGCCAGGTTCAGGCAGAATAACAATAAAATATTAATCTAACATGCCATTACATGTCAAATATAATACGTTTAAAGTGGAATATTTTAAGGTAAAAAATATAACAAGTCAAGAGAAGTATATAACTAAAGACCATGCTGAATTAAATAAGAAATTTCTCTTAGCAGGTTATCCACAACAGCTACTGAATAAATGGGAACTTAAAATAAATAATTCAAAAATAACACATAATAATAAACAAAAGAATAATGTAAAGTATAATGTTTTTCCGTACATCAAAGGTTTATATGAAGAAATCAACAAAGAAATCGAACAAATGAACTTTAAGCTTGCACCATCGCACCAAAAAATGTCTGCTAGATTAAAACATTTCAACCCTTTAAAAAGACAACAAGCATCAACTGAAATTAGGAACGTAGTATACAAAATTCCTTGTACTTGCAAAGACAACAAATACTACATAGGAGAAACCAAAAGGAAGGTAAAAATCAGACTAAAGGAACACATAGCTGATCTAAAATATCACAGAATAAATTCCGCATTTCATGACCATTGTACTTTGAACAATTGTAACATAGACAAAGATAATATAGAGATCCTTCGTAAAGAAAAGAAACATATAATAGGAAGTTTAAAGAAAGTATAGAGATCATCAAAAGCGAAAAATGAATAATTAAAAATTCCAATATAAAAATAAATTTGGTTTGGCATATTATAAATGAAAATAAGCAATAATTCTGTGTAAAATAAAGAAAATTGAAATTAATTTAAGTAAAAATTTAATATCTTCAACATGCGTTCTGCCACAACGTAACGTGTCTAACACACCATTGTGTCAATGAGCAAGGTCACACGCCTATCTCTATATACACACGCATTAAGCATTAGAAATCTATCTATATGTAAAAAAACAAGTAAAAATCTGTTTATACGATAAGAACTAATCCGAATGATAAAAAATAGAAATCTAGATAACAAGTTAAGAGTAAAGGTCGAATGCATAGAGGTGTTTTTAAAAACGAATTTAAGTTTACAGAGATCGTGATTTGAAGTTGACTGAAAAGGGGCATGAATAGCCCGAAAGGTATACTGTACAAACATTAATTGCATGTATCTATTACCGCTAAAGCTCGAAACTCGTTAATTTTCAGATTACCTAGCTAATCTGCAGATTAACTAGCGTGATCCGTTAAAGTTGTGAAAATTGTTCCATTTCTCAAATTACCTAGATAATATGCAGAGTATCTAGGTAATCCGCACATTACCTACTAGGCACTCGGTAAAGTGAAAATAAGATCTTTGCCACAAATAAATGTAACACAAATAGGTGTGCTTGTCGCAGAAACCAATTGCTATGAAATTCAGTGTCACCAATCTTTAGACTGCACTAATAAGTAAGCACAATTGGATAATGTTACCTATGGTGAGTAAAATGGCGGCTCGTCTCTGATTCCAGCAAAGAGAAGAAAGGAAACATTGGGGACGCACGTTCAAACCTAACCTCACCTAACCTATTCTAATAATTTGTGTGGTAATAATTATGGTAATTTATTATAATAGGTTAGAACGTGTGTCCCCACTGTTTCCTTTCTTCTGTTTGCTGGAATCAGAGACGAGCCGCCATTTTACTCACCATAGGTAACATTAACTGCACAATTACATCATGCGATCACCAGAAAAAGTATGATAACTTTATTATTTTTCGTTTCCGGTCCAAAAGTAGGGTATCGTTGAAGTCGTCTCGGTCCTCTCAGTTCAGATAGATACTCAAAGTCCCGAAATTCCATAGGTGGTTATCTATATAATAATTTCCCTCATTGTATTAATATTTTAAATCGTTTGATTTTTTGTATGTTTTTTAATTGGTTGATGACTGATTCTATCAACTAATTTGTTGATTGTTTGATTGTATTAACTTGATTCTTTAGATATCGAAAATTAAATAAAGAACAATATGTTAATTTAAGTGTACAGAAACGTTGCTGTTGTTTCAGCAAAGATCTTATTTTCACTTTACCGAGTGCCTAGTAGGTAATCTGCAGATTAACGAGTTTCCGAGCTTTAGCGGTAACATATCAACTAAATAAAAATTAATAGTGAGATTTACTTGTGTCCGAGTGAATACACTATATAGTTTGTGTTCGTCTGTTCGAGTTATAGAAATTAACTTATATATAATAGGGGAAAAAAGAAAAAACTCAAGAACTGATAAAATGGTTTAATCAGTCATTTTCCTTCATGTATACAACGTAATAGAGTAATGCTAGATAATTATTTTTGACACTTTAGGGTTCTTCCGGTTTATACAGTGTCCAATAGATACGTTCTGGCCCAACAGCCATGGCCACCACTCGGTATCCCCTACAATCCAATCTATCGAGCACTTCACGTGCAATATAATTCGTTTGATACGTTCTAAACAAGACAAAGGTAAATGAGTTGCGCTGTTTAAATAAGGATAAAAATAAATTCAAAAATATTACCGTGACTTTATTGTTCCAGCAGCGAGATAATCCAATAATTCTGGATTAATGTCTGTATCACCAACAGTTGTTCTGCTAGTTTCCTAAATTTCAAGATAAAAGTGTTATTAAATTACTGTCGAAAGTCTGTCTTCACGCTATAATGAATAATTAAACTAGATAGACCGATAGTTCAATCAATGTTAACTCGCTTATAGGCATAATTAAAATTTAAAATAATACTTTACCTCTATATGAGAAAGTAAAAATTATTAAAAATGAATATAAAAAAATGAAACTAAATTAATACTAAATAAATCAAACCTAAAAATAATGAAATAATAATTATCACTCTGGACTTTACACCGAAACCGAAACTAAAACAAGAATTAAAAATAAAATCAGAATTAATTAATATATATTCAGAAGAGATGATCGAAAGATTTGATCAATAGAAACTACTTTTAAATAAAGTAATTGAATTAATTTTAAAAACAAAATTAATTTTCTTACGATTGGATAAGAGCTGGAAATTATAAGATAAGGCATATTTCTACTACAAAATATGAAAATTGTATAAGATGATCCTCCCTACTCAACGGGTGTCTAGGTAATATTAAAGCGATTTAGCCAATCAGCAATCGTTGGCACATTAATTTCCCATCATTTTAATTAATTCTGATTTTATTTTTAATTCTAGTTTTGTTTCGGTTTCGGTTTCGTTTTCAGGTGTAACGTCCAGAGTGGTAACTATTGATATTATTTTATTGTTTTTAATTATTATTTTTAGTTTTAATTAATATGTTTGATTTATTTAGTATGAACTTAGTTTTATATTTTATATTCATTTTTAATAATTAACGGATTTTGTGTTCATATGTCAATTTGAATTTTAAAAATGTGTCTTTTGTTTGTGTTGTTATCAAGGGGATCGGAGTAGTCATGATAACGAGATTTTAGCGAAGTATTTTCTCTCGAAAGGGTAAAAACATTCGTATCAGATTATTAACCTGTATTAATTTTCGGCGAAAAGTTACCATTTTTACTGTATAAGTACTAGCTGTACCCGGCCACGCGTTGCTGTGGCTCAAAATGTATCTGTTATAAATGTATAACGAAATTCCTCCCATTCCCCATGGAGGAATTTCGAAAAATCTCTTCTTAGTGCACATTATCTTGACGTGCCCTATTAAAACGTAATCAAAAACGCAAAAAACCGCATCTAAAATAGAATAATAGAAGACTAATTCTTCACGATAAGCCTTAATTTTGTCCCTCTCCCCGCGGGGGAAATTTCGAAATCTATATAATATAAAAACGCGTGTATTCGAATGCAACGTTGTGTCAAAATTTCAAAGCAATCAGTTAAGAACTTTCGGAGATTTAAGATTTTGAACAAACGAACATTTACATTTTTATTTCTATAGAAGAAGATGACAGCTTGTTCAGCTTAGTCAAGTCTGTACTATATTTCTTTATATTCTTACGTTTTTTTAACGTAAATTGTCTTTGTTGACTTTGGAAAATTCCAGTTTTATAAAATTTGAACGCAGAATTAACAAATTCGTTATATTTTATTTTAAAGACGTTTAAAATCGAGACTGAATGTCTAACTATTGTTCATTGCAACACGTGCTCGTTTGACAGAAGTGGTTTGCTCGTAATAATTGCAAGTAATAAAATATAGTCTTTCTTTAAATTTAAATAATATTATTATAATTCTTTTATTACATTACTTTTTCAGGCAATTTCAGAAGTCAGCAAAATAGATGAAAACTTTGGTACATGTGAATCTTTGTCCCAGATGGTGGCTTCGTCCTGGCGACCAACATCTCAAATAGTACCTGTATTTTTCCACCCTCATGGTGGAAAGAAATAAAAATTTTAAAAATTGCTATTCTAAACAAAACTGCTCACACATTTAAACATATGACATTAATAATTAGCGTGCAGTTTCGATTTACGTAACACGTAAAAATTCAACAAAACATATCGTGTCAGTTATGACTTGTTCTTAATGCACAGCACGTCTGCCGTTTATGTGATTTGCATACTTTAATTCTCAATTCGAACCTAGAATTTATCACTGAAAATCCAATGTTTTCAGTTATTTCTATCGTCATTCTCTACAGAATAATTTCTGTGAGCATTTAACTGGCAATTTAACGGTTGCAATAACGGTTTTCACAGGTACTTAATATCTCAGTTAGATAACAATCAGTATATTATGATAAATAGATAAATTACTAGGTGCATTTTCTTATCCAGAATGAGAAAACATATTAGACCAAAAGGGCACGTAGTCAGCGATTATGTGGTCTTTTACTGTGTGGTGTGAAAAAAAGGGTGATGTGACCTTCACAATGCCCTTAGCCACTTTAAATTCTAGAATTAGAAAGAGAACTTGTTTAATTTCAATATTTAGACAAATAAATTATTATGTATTTGTAAGGACAATACAGTGAAGATCGATTCAATAATGGGATTCGAGTGATGCAATAATACAACGTTCAACAATGCAAATCTCGGTTTTGTTCTAAAGCATTTAGGAAAAATTGACATGGCAACCATTTTGAATTTCTTCTTCATTCTTCTTATTATTTTACCACTAGCATTTTTTACTTTTTCATCATTCTTAGTCATTTTATTCCTCCAAGATCTGCTGTGTCCAACAATTGGATGCATCTTCGGTGCCATATATACAGTCTGGAGGCGTAAGCTAGTCGAAATGTTAGCCTTCCGAAGTATCGAATGCCTCAACTCCATGACAAAAGTTGAACACGAAGTGTGCATTGAGCCTTCTATAAATCAGTTACTACAGATTATTGGACACGAAAACGTAAGAACTCTTCTTATGCATCAGAAGATACTATGCAACATTGAACCATCAGTAGAAATGGCGGAAAAAATAGAATATTTCGGGGATGTAAATGAAGATAAAAATAAACATGAAGCTAAAGAGGATCTTCTTGTTATGAATATGAATTTTTAATAAATTCCCAAGATTTCTACTATAAAATGCAATATTCTTCTTTTCGTACTTTGCTGATATTTAATGCTAAATTTCACATTTTGCACTCTAAACTTCTAAACGAATGTATCGAATATTTCAAAAAACTTAAAAATTTTAAATCGAATTCTACTTTCTTTTTGATTTATGGTAACCTTTTCTTTTTGCAACGAAATACGGTATTTCACCCTTACCATTGTCCCTAAAACTACCACTGTAGATGAAACAATAAATTCATCAAGATATAAATAAGCAAAACAGGTGGACAGATCAATTATCATTTATGTTTCCTTTTGATTTAAAAGTTGTTTATTTATTGGTTTTAATTAATTAAAGCAATGTCTCCCCGACAAGTGCGATATAACGAAGGACCACTGTATTTGCTTTAAAACATAACACTAAATCGGTAAGAAAGTTATCCCACTTACTATAAATTCATAATTATAATAAAATTTTAAATAATTTTATGTAAATATTACTAATAAACTGGATATTATAGTATATATTATATTTATTTAACTTTCATCCTTTTAACAGTAAAATAGTTTTAATTTAAAAAATCATTTCTAACTTTTGATTTCCTATCCATTTCTATTTTATCAATTAAAGATATCATTTTTCTCTTTAAAGAATATTTCCTGCCTTTTGATTTCTAAGCCATTAATATAATTTCCAACAATGCAAACTGATTACTTATAGAATTTTGGTGTTATAGAGTAAGCGAGTGGGGTAATGAACTTTTTATAATTTCTTTAATGCAGTACCAAAATAATATGTAATTGTGTAGGATATTTTTATTATTGTATACGTTCAACTTAAGTTATACTGAATATTAAAATGTTTTTAACACCTAAATAGAGGAACGTTTCTCATAAAAGTCAGATCCCAAAGCTCTCAGATGTTTCGGCCTCCCTAGTGCTTGTCTTTCACACCCACTGCAGCTGACAGTCTGAATCTTGTAAAACATTATTGGTTTTTTTACATATTCCCGATTGGGAGACCTTTCCGTTTCCACGGCCAAGAGTGCTAAAATAGTCCTGATATCACCTGTTCGGGTGTTAGCCAATTGGTAAGGCGTGGACCCTCATTCAACTATAAGTGTTCACTAGTGTTATCCATTCGCCACTAGCTGGCACACATACAATATAGAATGTATACATTTAACTATATTTGTGCAAGATACTAATAGAACTGGATAACATTTCACATGCATCACTAATAACAATGAAAATAAGGATTACGATGGGCAAAACTAAAAGTAACAACATACATATGAGCATTGAAAATGCATTCGCTGATGTTATACATACGGTACGACAAAATTTTCTGCCATAATGTATCATCACCTTAGAGTAATATGCGTAATTTCATGCATTAATTAATAATGACATTTATCTAGTAAAGAAGATGCAAAGATTCTACTGCTGTAATTTTATTCACATTCTCCAATCTTCATGTGGAACATAGTTTACATAAAATGCAAATCTATGAAGAATATAATGTCTATATTTGTTATTGTCATTCGCACTACAACATTTAAATTCTTGTTAATGAACTGTAATGACGGATCCGACATTAATTAAGGGGTTAAACCCAATCCGACTCTCATAATTCATGCTAGATAGTTAGAATTAGGAATTGTCTACTGCATATTTACGGATTTATCTCTGGTATATAACTAATGAAAATTTATTTTCAAATTCCCGAAAATTCTTCATATACTTACAGATTGCAATACACATCCCTATCAATCGCTTTTATCTGAGTCTTCGTCGGGGAGATCCTGCATTTGAAACAGAACAATCAGATAAGTCACTATCAGCCCGAAAACGGTAAATATAAACGATCTATAAATGTAGAAGGCTTTCCAGGCCGTAAAATGGGGCGGTTCTTGACTGCATCTCAAAAGCAGAACGTGGAAAGCTTTTTTGTCTTCTGGTGAATGAATTTTGCGATGAGCACCAATTTTACATAAAGCATTGAGCTCTTTTTGTGCTTCTAAAGTCACAGACGATGCTTTAACGGATATGATGATAAGAAAAGAACATTCGAAAAATACTACAGCTACGAGGAATGCAATTTCCGACATACAGAAGCTACCAATAAGGCTTTTTCGAGAAAACTCCTCGATATCAAAGCAAGAAAAGGTGATATCAATGACAATCCCCGCAATCCACCAAAAGACTACAGAACAAAATAAATTGTCCAGAAACGAAACAGCTTCGCAAATGTTCAAGAAATTATCTGTTAGTTTATAAAGTTGATCACTGGCACCCGAATGTTGCTGCAATTGCTTGATGTCCTTATTGAACGAAACAAAATTGACTTTAACTAATGAACAAGTAGAGGCAAAAAGCATAAAAAATATCGCTTTTGGTACAAGAATTAGCCATACGAGAGTTAAAGCATCTGAAACAGCAATTACATCACTTACAATATCGGGTATTTCTCTGGTGTCCATACCAAAAATATATCTGTTAAAATAATCTTGTCTATTGCATCAAACGACGATCCACATTTTAAGTGTGGAAAGAGAAATCCCGTAAAATAGTACATAAAAAGTGGATTTAGTCTGATTTTCCCATCTATTGGGATCTTTGTTACTGTCATGAGAACATACGTCCTGAAGAATGTGTTTTAATTCTTTTTTGATG